TAAGTATATACCCTCCAAAACTGCCACGCTAAATACATGTACTCTGATGATCAACTGTACATTAAGCAGAGATCAGACACTGCAACAGTGGTCTTGCATAAACAGTCAGGTCTATCAGATTCTGAACAGCTTAACAGTGATGACCACTGATAATCCTCAGATGTGATCCTCTGGTGCCAACTACACTTCCAACAGACCTTATTAAAAAAAACCCAAAACATATTTCACAAAGGCAACACACAGTAGTACAAATGAATACATGTGTCCATAGAAGACGACTACTCAGGGATTCCTCCATATTTTAGTTTTATGAGTAATTTCTCTATTCCTAGTCTTATAAATTCTTTTATTTTCTTCAGGTGTTTTCTCAGTAACAGCACACCTGAAAATCCAAATGAAACTGCAAGCTTTAGAAGTATGTAAACTAGAGAGAAATTAAAATACAATCTCCAATAAACTAGTAAGTGATACACCTTGCAGCAGAGTGTAACATGCAACTCCAGCTAAGCAACTGGATTTCAATGTAAATTGATTCAGAGGACTTGGGCTGCAACCAAAAGCAAAAATGGACACTTTGGTCTGGTAAATTACCATCTTGGTGTATCTTGGATATTGCAAAGAATAGATAATATACTATGCTTTGCATACGCAGTGTAACTAAAGCTTCCTCCCCGTAGACTTTCAATAGTGTATTTTATAATTTAACAATCAACTGAAATTATGACATTAACTACCGCAGTTTTAATAAAAATATTTGTATGCTGCAAGCCAACATTATGAACCATCTTCAAAGGAAAAGTAATGCTGGCAGGAAGTTTCTACATTATGAACTACGAAGGGAAGCAACTAGCTTGTTAAATAGATGCCTCTATTATCTCATTTCATCTGATAAGGTTCCTAGTTTAACATACACCTTCAGTAGGAATGCTTTTCTTTATAGATACATCGCTCAGAAGGAAGGGAGTACAAGGTATTGCAGAGAACTGAAGTAGTTACTAAATGCAACTGTGAGCATGAGAAAACTCCCATTTCTAAAATGACTAGCTCTGCAGTGTAGCCCAGCCTTAAACAAATATGCTAGACTTCTAGAAGCTACTGGAAAGATCAGAAAATTTCACCAGGATTCAAGCAAATCTAAGCTGTACCACAGACACATAGCGAGGTCACAGGGATTCGCCTGCATGGACCTGAAACTTCCCGTCCGTAATGCAAAAAAAGTTCACATACGAATCTTGTAACACTCTTAAGCCACGTTAAGTAACATATGCAAAGAGTCCAAAACCCTCAAAATTAAAGAGAAGTGAAAAGTATTACTAATACGTAGCAGTACATTCCAATATTAAAACTGCTGCTGAGCTGTGCGTTACTGCTGATGATGCCTGGACAGGATATCTAGCCAAACAGAAGCTCTCCACAACTGCTCCACTTTGCCTCCTCAAGTCCATCAATAACAGCACAAATCTGTTTGTGATATCACCATCAATTTCAGAAAGATAAATGTCATGTCAACATATACAAGGCTGCCACCACTAAATCACTCAGGCAGTGAAAACAGGCCAATTAGAGAAAGACGGCTGTTCGTCCACGCCACCAATCCACCCAGTAATCTCCAAGCACTGAAGACAGCACTAGAAATAGCTGGCTTTTTTTCCACAGGATCTGCAGGGTGTTACCAGTCCCATATGGAAGTATTAGACAGCGACTACCCAATGTGCAGCTGTCTCCAGCAAATATCACTACACTCTTGTGTTTTTTTCCTAATGATCTTAGTGCAATCTGACAGGGAAGAGACAGCCCCAAAAGCTGACCAACATCAGTTTCTGTTGCTGGCAAACTCTATTTTACAGTTTCTACTCTTCTCTCAAAGCAAGTTAAGAGTACAAGCTAGTATCTTGGGGTATTGAAAGCTGAGCTAATATCCCTGCTTTTCATTAAGGTTGTCTGATACTTCCCATTAAAATATCTATTTCAACTGATATTGCTTTCAGACAATTTTCCTTGGAAAAACATTAAAATGAAGGTGGGTTTTGCCAATGCTGAGAATGGGTTAGGAAAAAAAAAAATTGCTGTGCTTTTTTCATTGTATATTCGTTTGTTCATTAAACTGCTACGCTTTTTATTTATTGTTTAAAAAATGATTCAGCTGGTGACCTATACTTAGAAAACTGCATATATATATCTTGCTTTTAGGAAGCTCTTTTCAAATAGGACAGGCAACAGAGTTGCACTAAACCGTATTTTGCACACACTTGGGAGAGATTTTCAGCTCAGGTTTAACTTTGCAAAGAGTCCACCTGCACTCCACAAACAGCGAGATGTGAAAGGCAGCGCAGTACTCTCACTGCACCTGCAGCTGAGGGGCACAGCCAGCTCTGCTGGCCCTGGGTGCCTGACTGAACTGGGGTGTGTGGTATTTTGAACACACACACACACACAAGCTTGCTCTCTCACTCTACTGTAAGTGCACCAAGCAATTAGCCTTGTCTAGCCGCGCTCCAAGCTCCCAGCTAATCTGAAGAGATACAGCTACATTAACGAGTCGTGGAGTCTCATGACCGTGGCAACTGATCGTAGACACAGCTAGCTGGATTTTGCTAACTGCCTTCCATGGAGTCCCATGCAACGTTGGTAGCAAATGAAACCCAATTTTTTTTCCTTGGCAAGACCTCTGACTCGTAGTTTGCTTTTTGGATGACTGTCTTGTGACTACGGAGCAATAAGCACTTACAGAACGAACAAATGCAACAGGAGTTTGACGAATGGATGACTTGACCTTCCTTTCTTTGCTTCAATATCCTCAATAAGCATACCATCACCACCTACTCATTCAAATATTGGGAGGAGATGAACAGAAATCAACAGCACAAGAAAGCCTACACAGAAGTAACCAATTTAGACTGCAGAAATAGCGCGCAGCATAAAGGCGCAGGGCCACACACTGAACAATAAAGAGAAAACAAAATATTCAATAGCTACTCATTAAGCAAGTACCATCCACCCTGTGCAGCAAATGAGTCTGTGGAAAAACTAGGCTGTAATAGTGAAATTAAAGACTGTCTCATAATGCATATGCATAGGCAAATTAAGGCTGCCAGAGTAAGGCTGTTTGTGCATTCCCCAACTTTGACTGTTTGACTTTGCAACTTTAATAATGCACTTCTAATGCAGTTTTGGGTGTAAGATACGTAAATTTCAAAAGCATTTGTACACAAATTAGGTACAGCCCTCAGACTGCTGGCGTGATGCCAGCAGAGCCCCTGCTGCCATGCAAGCTGGCTGCTGCTGTGCCCAGATACTGTTTCTCTGAAAACAGAGTAGAGCAGAGCGTGTGAGAGCGCATCAACCGGCGGGCAGCGTTGGGCAGGGCAATGGTGCTCTCTGCTGGGTGAGCAGCAAAACGACAAGCGCTCTGGCACGAAGGCTAAACCGCTCGGCTACTGGGCTACGTGTAGGTGAACTGCTCCTAGCCCGAGTCAACTGCGCAGTCTATACCTGGACGACACTCTTGACTGACAGTCTTTACAAAACACACATTCACGCTGTATTTCACGTGTATGAATCGAGTGAAAATTCAGCTTTTCTGGCCTCTCTCTCATGTTATTTCTGTGGTAGTAGCTGTTTGAGGAGGTTTACTTCTAGCAACAGTAGCTATATTGATGTTAAATACAGAAGAACTTTAAAAAAAAGTTTCCTTTTACCATGGAAAAAAAATAATCTCATGCCTGCATAGTTTAGAGAGACTTTCAGGCTAAAATGGTATTTTGGAAAACGGTCAATGACTTACTGCAAGTCTGAACAAACACATGTTCTGTGGGAAGAAACAATTTAAAACCAGCTTACCTTTTATGATAAAAGCTATATATTTTTGTGTTTTGTGTGGAGTGTTTGGGTGGAACTCTAGAGAGGGGACAGGGCAAGGGAAATCAGTGTCAAAGGGTTTGAATTGCGTTCTTCTACTTAGGGCACCACAGCTCAGATGATCTCCTCTCCGCACACACCTCCCTCAATCCCAGGACACCTTACCAAATCTTAACGCCTTGTTGAGTTAAGGCCTGTGACTGTTGCATTTTGAATAAACCGATGCAAGCATGTTGACACTGGAGAATGCTGTACTGTACAACTCAGCAGAAGAAGATGTAGTTTCAGTTCTTGGTCCCTTAGTACCAGTGCCCTGCCATAGTACTCCAACTGCATGCAGATACATTGGTGAGATGTTGCTATCTGAACTCTGGTATTTTGTACTTGCGGAAAACATTAGTTATGCAAATACACAACAGCAAACTCGAAATTTCAGTTTAAAATGCACTCATAAGGAAGCCTACTATTTCCTGATAAAGTGGAATGGGATCACAAACATCCATTGTTCTCTTTTTTGGAGGGAATCACTGGAACTGGCAGAGGATGCCAGTCTGGCGAGAATTCAGGACTATCTGGACCTTCACGTATGTAACAGTCAATCAGAAACCAAATCTTAAGTTGGAAAGAGAACTTGAGAGGAGTTTTGGGACAGAGACTTTGTTTTTAAGCATCTTTCTCTGAAGTATCTCATACTGGCCACTATCAGGGACAAAGTACAAAACTGGAAAAATCAGGTATCTGATCTGCTAATAGCAGAGGTTAAGGAAACAGCAAAAAATCCACATGGAATTAAGAGAGAGCAGAACCTGACCTTCTCTCCAGTTGAGAATAAAGTGGGTGAGATGAGCAGTGTTACAGCTAATAGTGCAAAGAGAAACTGTGCGTGGGAATACTCCAGGGATATTTTAAGAAAAGAAGGAGGATGAGAGAAGGCGATTTAAACACCTCAAGAACATCTATGACTCCCTAGGAGAATTCCTCAATGATCTTTTCAAAGGAACCCCACCAAAAGACCTGAATGATTTATAAAGTAACTTGTAACTCTTACATAGCAAAAAGAAACAAAAACACACTGGAAGAAACTTAAAAAAAAAAAAAAAAAAAAAAGGCAGGTGCAAAAAGCAGAAAAAACTGACACTGACCTCAAGCCTCTTTTCAAGTGACTCTATCCTGTCTTTTTTGCTGGCCAAATTAGCTCTTGTGTAGCGGCTCTGTCCAGGCAGGTATAACACTTGGCTGTAACATTCTTCCCACACCTGGTTATAAGCTTCACTTGAGAGCTCTCCATGCCCCATTCCTTGCTTTACCACTTCCATCTCTTGTGCCAGTAGATCCTGTGCCTGTTGGAAATGATGAGAAATAAATTGCAGTTACAATACACAGGATACAAGAAAATTCCTCTTGTTTTCACTCCTTCAGCATGCAATTCACGGGGGTCAGTTTCTCTTTTCATACTAAAAGCTCACCATCAGGTTAAGCTAACTATGAAATCTAACACAGATGCTGTGGATTATAAATGAAACCCAGCCTAGAAGGCTACTCATAGCGCAACTATCCCTCATTTTATATAATTTGGCCAAACCTGACATCACTCCGCTGTAGCTAATGAAAGCTGTGGCACAGCTAGATACTTCATCTTGCTGCAGAAGAAAAGAGATAAAAGCAAGGACCTTGAGGGGAGGGAGAACTGTACAGACAGAAGCAGCTGTTCTATGAAACAAAAATCACTTTTCATTTCCTTTTGCTTGCCCTCCTCCACACAACCTGGAAAGTCAAACCCTAAACATTAACGGGTGAGCTGCATAAGCTCCATGGCAGGAAATACTACTCTGACTTTAACTAACACACATTCTGTTGCTAGAGAACTACTAGTGAGACATGAGCATTCTGCTGTTTCCAGTTTAGTTTACAAAGTAACTTACAGTGAACTGAAAAGACTCATGTTGTTCTCACAACTCTTAATATTTCTGACAAAGAGCCTGGCCCACAAAACTACACAGGCACCCAGGTTCTTCCGATTTTATTTGTAACTAAAAAACTAAAATATCTTTGCTGATCTGGACTTCACTGGTTATACGTGCATGTCTTCTCTTTCAACAGGATTTATACATGCGCCAGAAATTTCCATATCAGCAGTAGGTAACTCACTGCAAGCAGACGTATGTTCTATAATAGCATACTGCCCAGGAAGTAGTTCAGGTATCAACAGATAGATGATTCCAGGGATACCAGGGAAAGGAAAATTAATTACTTGTCCTCGATGGTCAAGACAGATAAAATAGGAGTACTCTAACCACACCTGACAAAGCTAAATCTTATACAGGTACACTTTCAATTAGCCTCTATTTGTACACTTAAGGCTGTTTAGTTGTGGCATGAAAACAGTTCCACAGCTTTAAGAGCTCAGCATACCATGCTAAGCACCACTCCTAATCCTTCCCGAAAGAGCACTACACATTAGGAAAAGAAAGGAGCATTTTATGAAGGGCTTTTAGTAGGAAGATGTTCTAAAAACAAATGAAGAAATAAAGGAAAACAAACAAGCCCCAGATGAGAGCACAGAGATAGGAAAACTTCCTGGTTTGAATTTAATTTTAGACAAAGAGGGAATATTACGCCTAATGTTAGAGAGCAAGCAGGAGCAAGGATGCAAAAAACTTCTGCCCATCACTTAGGAGACAAAATTTCCAGGGACTCTGAAGAAAGATTCCAGACAAAAACTACTGGACTGTGTAATAGTCTCTAAGGGAAGTGATAGAAAACCTAATTCTCGTTGCACTTCAAAACAACCAGAAAAAGCACTCAGAGAGTGTTCCTAAGGGAACAATCTGACACTGGCAGGGCAGTGAAATCATGACCTAACTGTATTTTCCATCTTTAGCTTCTCCTGCTCAGAAATCTTCCAGTATAATTTTTCATTTAACAGCAAATTGGAAGTACATACTGTTCAGTGTTTCTCAGTGTTTCTCATTTTAAGCTCTTGATTCATTGGTCAGATATGGTCAAAGAGATGGATTTAAAATCTGCTTGTATATCTTTAGAGTCACTTTAAGGTAATACCGGATTTAGGCGTAGAGATACCACAGCTATTGTCAGAACGCAAGTCTCAGATAGCAGGAGTCTGCATAAAACAGATGACTTGGTGGCACGTGATTTTGTCCTTTTCACTCTTTTTTTTTTTATTCCTGTAAGCATTTGGTCAAAGGTTACTGGCACAACTTCACAGGTGAAACTCTTTGAAAGGGCTAACCACAGCACTGTGTGTCTGAACTGTCTATCTGTCACTTGGCAGCAAAAGGCAACATCTGTAGCTGCTTAAACAAATGAACAATCCGAACCGGAACCCTTGGTACAGGACTGCTATTTAACTTGGGATTACAATGCAAAACAGGACAGAGTGCCCAGACAGCCTACTCATTTCATCCAGCAACAACCTAGTCTGCCTATTCAGCGCTTTTTAACCAGGTATGCTTTAAGATCAGTTGCCATAGCCCAGCAGGGTCTACACTAGCACAGCTCTGTTGGATCAAGCTTGACAAGCATAATTAAAGAACTCGATTTGCTGCTCAAAGTTGTAAGTTGGCTAAGACTGTCATATTTAGTCTGCACTCCTATGAAAAAAAAAATGCTTAGTAATTATGGATTAACAAGCTACACAGGCAGCAGAAGGTGGATATTACAGCTAGTTAAAGTCTCAATGATTTAACATCAATTTCCAGAAACAGCAAAGTAGAATTTGGTAACTGTTGGGGTATTATAGTTCCTACCCTTACTTAAAATGAGAAGCAATCACAACACATTCAAAATTGTATCTAAAAGACAATGTCTCTGGACAAATACAGCATCCTCATCATTCTGCTGAGTGCCTAGATTAACATTAGCTCCCAGAAAAGAGAACGTGCACTTAAATTATCCTTACAGCTTTTCATACAACCCTCTGGAGATCTCCCAACTAAATTCTGTGCAGGCTTGAATACACCTTTTTTTGCAAGATTACAGGACCATGACATAAGGAGACATTAGGTCACTAGTAATTAGGCCGTAAAATTCTCACCTTCTTGAGATCCTCTTTGGAGAACTTCTCATAAGGATTTTGTTCCAAGTAAGCCATATGTTCTGCATTGTTGCTTCCAAATCCTGGGCCTTTCCCCTTCTTACCACTAGGCTGTTCTCCAAATGGGTGGTGTAAAAGATCAAAATGAAGCATAGTAATCATCTCTTTCTTTATTAGCTCTTCACTTTTCTGCAAGTCTGTTAGAGGTGGTTCCACATTTAAGGGTCTCAGTATTGTTTCATTAACCTGGCGAGGAATAAGAAAAGTTCATAAACACCATACACAAAGACCACATTAAACATACATACTTCTACCTGAGCGTGAATTTTATAGATCAGCTAAACCATGCAGAACAGGTGCCAAAATGCCTTGCGGTGTGACACACACAGCAATCCGAACACCCAGTTGTGCTTTCATTTGTGCATATGAAATACCTCATGACAATTTTGCTGTGAAAAGTTTCCCGTAACGCTGATATCAGCATACTCAAATAAAGATTTCATTCTCTCATGATCTACCTAGACTGTATTTCCTCCTATAATGGCTAACACCTTTATTTCTATTTTTTTTCCTTAAAAGTTAATTTTGCTTCCACTTACTTCTGAGGGCCGTGGTAGATTCTTCTGAACAGCTTTGTGCATTCTCTTCAGTTCCTTTGCACGCTCTGCATCTCGGAGAGCCTAGACAAACAAGCTAAGTGTTACTCCAGCTACTGTAATACAATCAGTTTATTTCTACAAATGTATGTGATAGAAAAACTGATTGATTACTGCAGCAAAGATTCCTTAAAGTATAAAGACTTCATGTTATGAAGCCAGAGCCAAATAACAGGTCACTCTCTACGTGATGACATCATAATTTACTGCCTCTAAAGTAAACAGGAAGAGCACAGCAGACTAACTCTAAGAGGAGAGAGATGCTAAAAAGTCATTTCCAGCCATCAAATTCTCCTTCAGTCTCAACCCCAGCAGACTTCATTCTTTACAAATTTCTCCACATGAAGTTTGACATCTGCTCTGACTCACCAGACAGGAAATCCACCAGGAAAAGACAGACTCTATTTGTCCTCTTCTGTGACATAAAGTAACTACTTCACTAAAACAATACTTGTGAAAGTGTAAAGACATGAAATTTCTCCTTACATTCCACTTTCAGGAAATAAATAACATGAAAAGGCAGTGTTGTCTAAAACTTCAGGAACGATGACCAAGATCTTCCACGTTCTAATCCCAGCCTTGTCATGCCTTCATTTGAAAGGCAGGATGCTATTCTCTTGTATGGTATTACAACTCAAATTCTTTTCTCTATTCTACACACGTAAATTATCTGTATTTATGCAGACTTTTTTTGTGTGTGTGTATGCACGAGATGTGCATGTAAATGTATATAACATGTTCCTCCCCAAACGGGACATGCTAGGAATCAAATTCTGGGAAATGCTTATCATATTAGAAGATATCGGAGCATAGGATTTTTTTTTTTTTTTTAAATATTTTGTTCACTTGTCAAAGCACAGTCATTGGCAAAAACCCCACTGAACTCAAAAAAACATTTATTTGAAGGTATATAACAAAAACAGATTTGCATCACACAAATTAGGATAAGCAACAAATGGAAAAGAGACTGTTCTTATAAACAGAAAAATTTAAAGTGTCTCTAATTACTGGCTAGTACAGCTATTTAACCAGCAGAACTTAAGCTAACACTTTATCCAGCCTTCCTTGATTCTGAAAAAAACCCAAAACAACAGGGACCCATTCACAACTTGGCTGTCTGGGTAATCCTGTGGTACAAGTCATACAAAAGGGACCAATTCACTGCATGGCAGATTTCTATCTGTGTGCTACCAGCCTGCCTGAATTTGTATACACCTCTGTCTTACATTTCACAAACAGTAACTTTTAACCTTGAGAGAAAAACCTGAAACTGGGGGGGAAAAAAAAAAAAGAAAAAAAAAGGCACAATTCTCACGTGCTTAAAATCAAGCATGTACCTCTGTAGAAGAATGCTTTTAATTATATTTTTATCTTTTGGGGGTAGAGACTTCATCGTAGAAAATGAGGTGTGATACATAACCTTAACAAATTAAGAAAAGGATTCAGAGAGAAAACTGATTGAGCCTCTGTGTGTGTATATTCTGATGGCAGCACAGAAAACAGGTACGTTTTACTTTGTTATTCTGTAGAAGCTGTACCACTTCCGCTAAATGTGTATGAAACTATGGGAGCCATACAAGGAACATATTTTAAACAAAAGGCACTATCCACATCACACACACCTACCTGCTTGCGGGCATCTATATCAGCAGTATCTTCTACAAAGGCTTCATCTACTTCATGTTCCTCAAGTTCTTTTTCTGCATTTTCAGGTAAAACAATCTCAAAGTCGTTCTTTGGAGCAGGAAGGGCCATGAGCCCAAGGCGCAGGTGTTCACGAGACTCTCTCTCCTGTTGAAATAACAGTAAGATGTAATGCTTCTGAATTCATGCACTATGGTGCAATACAATCAAATTCCATTCATCTACATTAACAGCCATGAACAATACACAACTAATATCATCTGGCAATCTTAGTCTGCTACAAAGCCAACAGAAACAAAATCTTTGAATGGTCACGTTACTAATCTGGGCTGGCCTACAGACCACCACCCCAGAGTTTATGGACTACTAAGCACAGAAACTTTCCAATGCTAAAAAACAACACACAGCTTTCTTAAAGATAGCTAATGAAATCTTCAAACAGGCTGAAATACTCAAGTAAACCAACAGCATGGCACCTTCGCCTCCCAGTAGCTTCAGTACAACAGTGGAGATTCACATAAACGCCTTTCAAGAAACCGAAAATATGTGAAAATGTGTTCACACCAATGATGGACACAGGGGTATCTGCAAGCCTAACTGGAACTTTTTTTCTTGCAGTTGCTCACAAACCTGGGGATTGTGGCACAGTACGAAAATGAGACAAACAGCACCAGGTCTGGAAACCAGTGGAGTCCATCAGGAAATCGAAGCCCCAGTTTTCCTTCTAGCAGCAAAAAGTCTTTTTACTATAAAAAGGCTAAGACAGAACCAAAGTAAGTATAAGGACATCAAATAAACCTTGTCCTTCAAGCTAAGGGGAAACCTGAAATTCTGAACTTGAAGAGTTATTTTTGCGAGAAGAACATGCCAAAAACTTGAAGTGGATATCCTTAGCTAGCCCAAAAAGAAAAATTTCAATAGCTCTGGTGGGAGATACCCAAAGCCACAGCTAAGGCTGCAGAATCAGCCACATGAAAGGAGTTCCCAAGGTGCTACCTATTAGGTATATGCCCTTTTATACCATGTCTAATTGGCAGGGTACATCTGGCTGAATCTCCAAGAATGAAAACATCTGTTGCCAAAGGCGATGAAAGAATCTGGATGGGACTCAGATTACTGGAGATCTCAAAACCAAGTGCTCCTAATGGCAAAAATTAAACTCCTTTAGCTCAATGTTGTCAACAGGACAGACTGATGAAAAGGTCCTGTAGGTAAATCGGGAAGCCAAGATGATGAGGGATTTGAGGGCTGCGTAGGATTGCAAGAAAAATGAATCTTTCCTTGAGATATATTTCCTGCTCGGCTTCAAAGATACAAGTAGGACTGAAACCTAACTATGTCTTCTTTGATGAATAGCTTAGAGTGCTTGTACTGAGCGCACTGAAAGCCGTTCTAAGTGGCAAGATTTCTGTTCTTTCAAATAAAGATTTGATTTTTTCATGTGATGAGTACAGACCTGTAGACAAGTGGTAGAAATAACACTTGCTATAAAATAAAATTCTGTTCAGGAGATGAGAATTAAAAATCCTGAAAATTAATACAGCACCGATATCCACTTCTTATGTACTTCTTACCATTTGTTTTGCGTAAGATGGGTCACTGTAATCTGCCATTCCCTCTTCTGGGTTGATGTTCAATTTATCACGCAGTGGAGTTCTACCAGGAGTTGTACCAACCACAGGTTTAGGAGTTAGTCCTCCACGAGGAGTTAAGCCTTCTGGTCCATGAGAAGGTGTTCTAGAGGAAGTGCGGATACGGTAATTTTTTTTCCCCCAAAAAAAACCCTCTACTTGCAAAAGTATGAATGCTGCAAAAAGTTATGTAAATACTGTTAATAAATTCAATCTAGATTTTTTTCTTGGGAGGCAGTGAAACCATAACATGCAATTAGAAGAATCCAAAAAATAAATTGTTTAAACCCACCGAGGTGTAACCAAGTACCTGTCAAGCTGAAATCTAGGCATGTCACTATGTTAAGAGAAGTTTCAGGAACTACATCAACACAAACTCCCACTGTTACTTTTGAGAGAAGAGATTATCTAGTCACCAGGCACTATTCTGGGGTACAGTAATGAGGGTTTAATTGCAAGCTCTGATTTCCCTACCACCTGTGGCAAGTCATTCACTCTGAATTCATCTGGCTTAACAGTTGTCCCATCTTACAATTGAATGAATCACTCTGAAGATGCCTCTCTGCTTTCACTGATTATTGAAAGAGTAATTACATTACAACAATTACTTTTAAGCACCCAAGGTTAGGCAAGATGGATTAAGTCTTAGATTTTGTGGGCCTCAGTTGCTTCTTCTATAAACTGGGAAGAAGTATTGTTCTCTATCCCAATAACCTACTACATGAAAGGCGTGCGAACATTGTCTTGGATATAGTCACAAGTCTCCTGTTGCCAACTTATAATGAGGTTTCACATAGTGATGATAATAATAGTACTAATGAACTGATAAGACATCGTTAAATGTCTCAAAGAAAACAAGTTCAGGAAGGGGAAAAACTTTTAGGAAAAAAGCCTACATTATGGTACTCATCTACACTTACGTAAATATTTTCCGACAGCAATGACAAGTATGCGTGCTGTGGAGAATAACCCTGGCAGAGACAGACTGTACAAGATGATTTAATACATCATTTCCGCTACCAGTTACTGTAATTCTGTCGTGCCAGTAAGATGCCATAATGGTGGACAAACACAATTGTATATATGGCCTGAAACACACCTCTTTTAAGGGATACAACAGTGCCTTATTTACTGGGTACATCTGAGAGGCAAGTGATACTTTCCTCTTGCTTGAGGTTGTTCACAGATTTTCATGAATTCTCATTTAGTATAACAAATACAAGCAATAACATTTGCAGGATGACACCCACAAAAAACAGCAAAATGCATTTTTATGTTTTCAAATGAATGTTTCATAGCATGTATTTACTTTGTTGGTTACACTAGTAGAAAAAGTTTTATGCTGACGTTCCAGAAGAAGCAATTTCCAAGTAAGCAGGTTGTTTTCTTCTAGTTGTCTCAGTTCCATGCAGTGTTTAAAACCCTATTACAATTGTCAACGTAATACCTTTTAAGAAAATTCTTATAACTAGCATGTGAAAAACAAACAAAACAAAAAACCTAATGCAAGGCAACAACTTCCATAAAAACCTTGCATCAAAATATTACATATTTCATACCATCATAGGAAAAAAGGTGTACTTAAATTAAATATTTGCTCTTTTGGCCTAAATAATAAGATGATGACTCTGCTTCGCTACTCTGCCTCCTAAAAAGTTTTGGCTTCCGTTTATTTATTTTTAACCACTTAATGGATTTTTTTTTTTCCCCTCTCTGCTCAAGGTCTTGGATTTTCACACTGATAGAGCATTTCTGCAAGAAAGCCAAGTTGATACATAGGTACCATATTTACACGTGCAAATCTGAACTTCAGAAGCTAAAAAACCACCACAAACAAAAAAAGACCCAAGCAAGAAAATGAGAATGTCTTTACATTTTTTAATATAAAATAACCCAAATCAACAGCCAGATCACTCCAGGCCAACCTCTACATTCATTCTGCACCGCACTGACGCCAACAGATCTCTAGAAAAGGATTCATTTATGTAGATCCAATTAAAAGAGCAGGGCTTTTGCACACAGCTTTTAAACAAAATAAAGCTGCTTTTGAAAAGCTGCCATAAAGGTCCTTTTTATTTCATTCTCCACTTCTCCTACTAGCATGGTACAAGTAAAATTAGAATCTAAGTGGAAAAAATTGACAGACAAAATGTACCAAGTGTAATATATTTTAGCTGTATGGTATTTGGCATTTGTGGGATATATATTTATTCAGGACCCACTGTAAGAGTTAAACCAGCAATTCCATACTATTTAGATTGGCAATATAAGAAATATTTTATTTTGGATATATATGGCTTATAAAATATTTACTCCAGCTTTTCAAAAATTCAGTGGGTTTGGCTAAGGGACCTCCCACACCTTTGACTCAGAGGTAATACTTTGGAAAGGCTAGGGTCCACGTACAGAATGACGCTCCATCTTACTATTTATACTCCTGTATTACTTCAGTATAATTTATATTGCGCCAGACCACAGAGGACCTCATTTTGGACCAAAACACCAGTGAGCTATACACTGTACAAAGATGATGTGGCTGAGCTTGTGAAAGACATGGAGAAGGAGAAAGTTGTACAACAAGGGCTTGAAATAAAAGCAACTTAAAATTTGTTTTGAAGCACTGATAACCTACTACTTCACACATTGCAATCCGCTCCCTCCACCCACCTCCACTACATACTCGCCCAGTCAAGCACCCATTAGAAAATTAGTCTGCTTTACCTGAAGGGTGTGGAAAGCACAGTATTTGGAGTCTGAACAACCTGTTTCTGTGGTGTTACCCCCGAAAAGTCACTTTCATGCAAGGGAGTGTTAAGACCTCCTTTCAGGGGGGTATCCACATTTGTGAGAGCCATCAAATTCTGTGCTTCCTGTGTAACAGACAAGACATGCAGTACATCACTACGACTTTCAGAGTCACACTCTACTATACATGTGTAACAGATTCAGTAGCAGTAAGAACAGCTGAAGAGTTATTTGAATATCAATCAGTTAATGGAAAATGTTTAACACTTCTTAACTCCCATATACTAGTATTTACAAACCCTACTGTTCCACTAAAAGGGATTTTAATCTTTATTTCCAGTAAAATGTATTATAAATTGGAATTGCAAAAATGACTGGGTTACTTCATGTTTCAATTTCCTTCAGTTTGCCAGACTCCATAAATCTGCAAGATTTATTAGTGACTGAATACTCGAGTCATCCTAAGGATCCTGATTTTCAGAGAGAACAGCACACTTGCACTCTGAAATCCAACATCAATGAAGTTTATCCAAACTGCACTTCAAAGAGAATGTGTCCAAAAGAGATGCTCACTATTCAGATTTTTGGTCCGTGACTCAACTGGGGCTTTTATGAATACCCCCCTATTTTTTTTTTTTTTTAATTTCCTTTTTACAATGAAGAATTAAGGCACTCTGAAAATGAGCTGAGATAATGAAACCACTGCATATAGCAATTAACTTCACAGAAGACTACTAATCCATCTACAGAACTGTGTATATGCATAATACTGCAACATATGTGATGTCGGAGTACTCCATTTGAAGGTGAACGTGACCATCCCTGCAAACACTGCACAGAGACTTAGGTCATGATCTGTAGAGTCAGGAACTTTCTCTTTTCTCCTATCAACAGTTTTTGTTTCATGAAATACAGCTCATTATCAACACAGGGGTTTTTTTTGTTTTGTTTTGGGGTGGGGTTTTGGGGGTGGAGTTTTGTTTGTTTGTTTTACACACTAGCTGCGCTGATTTCATTTAGCCATTTCTCCACACTCAACAAAACATTACCCAACACTACCAGTTTTTGAAAGAACCTAGACACTCACAATCAGTGCAACACAAATATAATTCAGGGGTTGCAAAGGTAGGTTTTTGATAATCTTTGTCTTAAGTGGTTTTAAGCCAATAAAGTGCTAGGAAAATATTCTTGCATTGTTGCAGTTAGTTACTTCTTGTTAACTGAAATAAAAGCTGAACAGCAAAACTGAGTAGGAAACAACATAAAAGACATTGTTTTAAGGACACGAACACCATATACATCTTCGACACTGAGAGGTACCCAAGACAAGGGGAAATTATGTAAGACACCAGGACAATGGTTAATGCTAAAAGTTGCACGCAATATATAATAAAAAAAAAAAAAAGTATCATAGTGTTTTGTAGCACGGTGACAACTGATCAGATGGAAGTGGATCTGCTGCTACGCTTTTCAGTGTGTCCTGGAGATCATGTGACAACTGATCAGATGGAAGTGGATCTGCTTCTAAGCTTTTCAGTGTGTCCTGGAGATCATGTGCCAGTTCAAACCCCAGTACTGCATATAACCTAACGAATGTTTCTATGGTACTTACACCTTCTATTCAGCTGACTACTGCACTAAAGCTAAAAGCCCATTCTGTACATTTATACGCTACCTGCAGGATCCTGTCTTGTGCTGCCGGAGTTTTGGGAGTCCTTAGTGCTATGCTGTTGTTGGTCACATTATATTCCGACAGAAGAGTGCTGGAAGCTGAGTTTGTAATTCCAGATTCCTCAGCAGTCTGGCGTGCAATCTCACTTGCCTGGCCTACTTTTACAACTTCTTCAAGTTCTGTATCAGATATCTTCAAAAGAGAAAATTTCAAGGCATAGTAAGAGAAAATACAACCATGAGATCCACTTGATAAAACAGAAATCATTGATTGGCATTGGCCTTGTAAGTTGTTTATTGATCAATGAACAGCTTACCTGAGGAGCTGGAAGCACTAGTTTACTTCTTTTTTTGGTAAATTCTGACACTCCGCTGGTCTGTAGAATAGCTGAAGGCAAGTCTGACTCTTTTTTCCGTTTCATATGTTGTTTGTCTTTTTTGCGCTCTCTTCCCTCCCTTTCACTGTCATTATGGGTAAGAGAATCATTTTAGAACACACAGAACAGCCACAAAGTAAAACAAACAAGCAAAGAGCAAAAAGCCTGTACATTAATCAAAAAGTTGGATAAGCTGAAATAAAACACGTTGCAGGAAGAGTGAACCACCTTGTGGTGCAGAAGTGATTAGATATGGTCTGCAGATCTTGCAGCAGAATCTACAACAAGGCAGTGTAATGCTTCTAAATTATGGAGTTAAGCAACAGGTGGTTGCTTCAGCTACAATCAACACGGTCACTGGAGCAAGAAAAAAATGTCAGTCCAAGAATTCACATAGCAAGAATCAGAGGGTGTGAACAGTCCCTTTTTCTCCAGCAGCTGCTAAGGGAAGACGAACATTTTCTGTGGGATACGGGAAACAATTTCTCTTCAGTATTTAATAAAAATGGTATTTACTTCAAACAGCAATGGAGTCAGCCTGTGAAATCGTAAGCTTCAGTTTGAAGCTCCTGCCAGACCCTCTGAACTAAGAGCCATATAGAAATGATCAATTAGATGACAAGCTAATAAACCAAATCATATGTATTACTGGACCTACTCTCTCAGTAAAAAGCAGTTGGCAGAAGTAGTGGGAAATGCAATTGTACAATTAAATATGTGCCATACTGCTCATGATGAAGATGGGCATTTAATTTTTCAACTGCATGTTTTGGGATTTTTTGGGGGGAGGGGGAGAAATTAAGCATTTAAGGAGATTCTACTTAAGCACGATTCCACCAAAAGTAATACTACAAGAAGTAAAATCTACTCCTGTAAGCAATCTTCATAACGGGAAATGCAATTGTACAATTAAATATGTGCCATACTGCTCATGATGAAGATGGGCATTTAATTTTTCAACTGCATGTTTTGGGATTTTTTGGGGGGAGGGGGAGAAATTAAGCATTTAAGGAGATTCTACTTAAGCACGATTCCACCAAAAGTAATACTACAAGAAGTAAAATCTACTCCTGTAAGCAATCTTCATAATGTTATTACTTGGAGAATGGACTGCAAATACACAAGCAAATCTACTCCTAAAAGAAAATGAACCTCAAAAAACTTAAGATTTCCATTGAAAGAGCAAGAATGTGCATGAGGAACTTTATTCTCATGGAAAAAAGGTCAACTAGACCTTTTAGAAAGATAAAAAGCACAGGAAACTGAAAAGGCAGAAGCAACCTGCACTAGTATCCGTCCCATGGAAAATACAACTCCTGCCCACATTATATTTCAGACATTTCCAGGACTTAACACTGGTTTTTTTTTAATATATATTTTTTTATATATATATATTTTTTTTTTTTTTAAATATTCTGTTCCCTCCTTAGTGTAACACACACTTACGATCTTAATTCTCCATCTAAGTCTTGCTGACGTAGCTTCCTGAAATCTGCATCCAGGGACTGGTAGTTTTCCTCCGATGTATCGTAAAAACCAGGGGCAGGCTTCTTTTCAAATGGAATTTCTGCATTATAATCCACACCTCTCTTCTTTTTTCTTTTCTTCTGGATCTCAATTCCAGCAGCCCGAAGTTCTCGTCTTTTCTGGAGAGCAGCAAGCCGTCTGAAGAAACAGTAACACTACGTGATTTAAAGTGCAGACCCATAGGTGGCTCCTGTATCCTAAGATCTGGTACTATAATCAGTTGCTGCTGAGATAGGGCTGCACATATTTAAACAACAAGAATGAAGCTCTTGTCACAACTGACTATCCAATAGTCTGATTCTTCAATGACTTAAGGCTGTGCCTGACTTTATGCATTGTAAATGCTCCAGAGTCAACAAAAGCAGTCCCAGTATATGAAACTAAGCATAAGTTTACCTAGCTTCTTCCAGCTGCTTCTCTCTTGCTTTTCTTTTGGCCTTCTTTCCCTGTGTATTAGCCAGACGAGCTCTAGCTTCAGACAGCATTTCAAGTTCATCTACAATAGTACAGATAAACACAGCTATGAATTTGCACTTAAAGATGGGAGTAAGGGAAAAAGTGACATTAAGATAAGAAAGCAATCTTTAAAAGCTGAACGAATCCATGTTTTCACAGGCATTCTGCATTATCGCTAAACTAGTTTTCTCCAAGTTGCTCCAACGTATTTTCCACATCACTGGCCAGATGAAAAGACTTTGAGAAAAAAATGCCTAATGTTGAAAATAATTCAACTACTATCTACAGCAAATCAAAATATCTACATAAAGAGGCAAACTGACCACAGTAATGAAACCATAATTTCATTTACATCTTCATCTGAGAGTACTATATTAGAGAACTCGTTACTTTCATTTACATCCAGATCCAAGAGAGCTATATTTGTGAACCTGTGACTGTTCAAAACCACCGTTGGTCCATTCATGGAATTTTAGCAATGTTCATTTTTTAGTTCATAACATTGCTATGTGCAAGGAAAAAGAAGTCATGTAGTCCTCCTGTACTTCAGCATGGATTCATCTGGGAGGTCTGAGCCGATGGGAAGAGATGAAGATACAGAAATATGAATGCAAACAAGCAGACCAGTCGTTAAAGCAAAGAACAGTCAGTCATGGTAAGAAATGATGAAGACAGGTTAGAGGGCAAAAAACACATCAAGGAAAGGAAAAGAAAACTAGAAAAGTATAACTGACTGGCCAGATACAGAAATGAGACAAAACCTGTGAGAAAAAATGATCAGGGGGCGGAGAAAAAGAGACAAAAGAAATCCAGGGTACAGAGGCTGTGTAAAAAGAAAAACCAAAGAGAACATATTTCTACAAAAACAGTCAAACTCCTATCCTACCTTCATCCATGTCAATAGGATCTGGCCTGGCTGGTTTGGTTTCTGGATTTGGATCAATTTCTCCAGGTTTAAGTTTCCGAGGATCATCAGCAGTTTCTTCCTCATTGTCTCTCTGAGCAGCTTTGTCCCTAAAAACACATTGTATGTATGTCACAACTGGCTCTCTGTTTTCCCCCAGGCTCACAATAACCATCCCTTAAATGTCCCCAAAGACTGATCAAAAAAGTAACCTCGTACTATGTACCGTGTATTAAACTTGTTACACATTTACTGCAGAAAAGATTCATGAACATGGTACAGTTACACAATCTTAAATCAGACAAGAGAAAGAAGCCAACATAGTATTACATTACAACAATAAAATATTATATAAAATAAAATATTGACAAATCTAATAGTAGAGAACTCTCCTCGGGTAATCTTTAACAGTAAGGACAAGAATTCAAGCAGTGTGAAAATGAACAATTGAGCTTCCCATTATGCTTTCATACTGAACCAATCACACCACAATTAAGAAAGCTCACAAGGGAAAACAACACTTTCTTTCTCTTCTCACGGCCTAAAGAAACCCTCTGTAGCACAGAGGGTGCAGCTGACGGCTGCACATTTAGACATTTCAACATGTGTTTTTGTCTGTCTTTTTTCTTCTCTCTCACACACCCACTCATGCCAATAACCCAGTTTCAATATTTCAATTTCAATACCCAAATAAACCTGAAATGGAAGCCCATAAAAAGCATCAATCTTGACACTCCTCTAGCCAGAACGACCAGAAGCAAGAAAATATACACCTATCTCTATTCAATCCTGCTCTCCAGGTTCCAGAAGCTTCTTCTTTCAAGGTACATACATCGACTGAAAAGAACGAGTCCTTAAGGATTTGCTTACAAAAGGACTCGGTCAACTTGAAACCACCATACTTCAGCACCATGGGAGAAGGGAATTACACATCTCTACAACAAACTCTGCACATTTTCCTGGTATGCACCTCTAGCAAATCAGTAACTCACAGCAGAAATTCATAGTGTTCCAAACACTGTGCAGCAGTTCTCCCAATAATTGGGGCAATGGTTCTCCACTGGGTTGGCATTAGCTTGGCCAGGTGCAACAGTTTCTCCTCCTCCTCCCGTGACCACTCCGTCTTTTTGATGCTCGGGTCTAGCCATTCGTACCTGTTAAAAAGTAAAAAAATTAAGGACGACAGATCTAAGCTATCCATTGATTTGTCTTGAATTAATTCAGAACAGTATTTACCCGAATCATCACAATGAGATTTCAAAACCTTGTCATCCAAATTTCATACAAGTTTTTTCTGCACAAAAGGATGTTACTCCAGAGTATTTTTATGACATATGTATTTAAGCTTTAAAATGTATTAGTTATCCACCACTTTTCATACAGATATTGCCTCTTCTTCCTTTCCCCATCTCTATTCTGCCAAAGTAAGGAGTCACAAAATTAATCCAGAAAAAGAAAAGTAAAAATTGCAACAAACAAAGGTACCAGAAATGGTAAACTTGTTTGGTCTGGATCCTTCAACAATTATCTCACTAATCTTTAACTGTGCCAGTACTGTTACCTTTATACAGAAGTATTCTAATAAATATGTGCAGTTCAGTACTTGAGAAACTAAGTCTGATTCTCAAACAGATTCATGCTGTGTGTATTTGCATTAGTTTTAAGCTTCTATTTTTTTTATATAAAATGAAATTCCACAGTGCAATTTCTGAACATTTATCCTCAAGCCAAACTCTCATTATGAAAAATTAGAAAATTATCTGTAAGAGGGATTAATATCGTAAAATTTTACTTCATTGGTAACACTCACTGATTAAAAATGTGTAAATACAGTGAAAAAAAATCATGCACACAATTTTAAGTGATCCTGCATTTGCTAACACTGCAGTCACTGACAAAGGGAACATTTGGCTACTTTTGTTCAACTACTTTTAAGCAATAGGAATTCGAAATATCCGCAACAGCAGAAATCAAAACAATCTTAAAACCATTGTTCCTCTGTGGACATAAAATAATCTGTGATAATTTCTAAATTCCCACTAATTATGAATCTCATATTCCCAGATGTGGCACTTCTCACTTACCATCTGGCTTTGCACTGCTTTGCTGATTTTCTGTGCAATAAAGAAGCAATACGAGACCACTGGTTTTTGCCATATTTCATCACAGCTGCTTTCAGAATTTCATCCTTAAAAAAAAATAAAAAAATAATACTGTTATGGATCACGAGAACTCGCAAGAGAAAGTTTGAGCTCAAGCAGAGGAGAACATGGTGGATTTCATCTAATGGGCTGACCCAGTGGAAACAGCACAGCACTGCTGATTCTTTTCCACATTTTCTTCTCAAGATGAATGAGGTTTTGTATTTCAAAGGCCAATGAAATCAATAAAGATTAAATGAAAAAGATAAGTGATGATTATTGTGGCCTATTTCACAGATCTGACAGAACTTCAAAAACAATTACTTTCAATGCTCTCTAATGCACAGTTTTTAAAGGTTCTGTATGTCTTCCTTGAAGAACAGAAATAAAGAGGCAGGGAAGTGTTTCTCTAGTAATGAAACAACATTTGGAAAACTAAAATAAAATTGATAGATACCTCTGGGTGGCATGTTTTAAATAATACCATAAAATTATTCTTTTTTTGTTTTTTGCATATATTAATGCAAATGGAATATTTACCTATCAAAGGAATGTGCTGTTAAAAAAAACCTATCACAAAAATAAAGGAACTTTATAGTAAGTTTTTCTTTAACAAGTAAATCTTAAAATTAATCTCTTTAATGTTCAGAATGTAACATCCGAAAGTGCTGATCCCAAAGCTTATAAACTTGGGGGGGGAGAGGGGAATGTAATGCATTCAGCTTGGGAGCCAGGTTGTTCATATACATCAAAGTGTGCACTGAGATTTGATCAAAAGCTAGAAGTCCTATCAATTGTCTGTCAATCCATCCATCAATCCCTCTCTCCCCTCCCCCCAGGGTTCGTTATTTCTGGTTTCCTCATGGGTCAGAAGGTGTTATTTTAAATGCATCAAAGCTATTCTTGCAGCCTCGTCAACCACAGACGTTCCTCTTCCGTATCCAGTAAGTACTTGTAGTTGTGTCCAGAACCTGTTCAGCTGTACCGTGCAGATGCTAGTCATCAAGGACAGACACTCCATATAGCACAGACATCTCTCAGAGCGCACAGCAGCTTTAACTGTAAGCTGATGATGAGCTTTGGCTTGAGCTGCTACAGGAAACAATTCATGTAATTTCTATTAAGAAAATAAATAATAAATCCCCTCTTGTTTTTTAAAATTTACTTAGTGTTATTGGCATGCAGTAGCCATACCGATGACATTAGCAGGCTTTTTTGCAAGTAATGGGTCCTCTTCCTAATGACCTGATATCAACTGGTGCCACTTTCTGTAATTTTAATGTTGTATGTATAATCAAAATGTTAATAAAAAAAATAGCACCAAAGAGAGCTATTTCATCTCTGGTACACAAAAATGGGTGAAACAACCATCTATTTAACCCACTGCTGTTTCTCTTAACAGTCACCAAAATTAGTCAATTATGGAAGACCATAAGAACAGGGTAAGCACACGGTGGTTCTTCCCATCCCCTGCCGACCTCTAATTTAGCAGCCTCCTGGCACATAGCCGATATGTCACAACTGGTTAAAAGCACATGCAGTGCACAATACTTTTCCGTTATTTTTTCCTCACTGCTTTTTGGAACTATGTACATGCCTAGTGTTCACAGTATACAGCGGCAGAGTTCTGGATTTTACAGTGTCAGGTACCTCCTTTTGCTTTAAACATGCCGCCTAATAAAACTGACATCCTTGATTTCTCGTGTTAGTATTTTCCTTTTCACGATCACTTGCAGTTCTGAAGGCATGTGACGGCAAAAATGGGAGAGTGTGGTGGGGTTTTTTTTGCCCTTTTTTGAACGGCATATGAATTTCTGTGTACAAAACCCTTCGGGCTGCAGATGAAGAGCCCGTAAACATCTCCACCGTTTCCACATTTGGAAGGTTCTTCAAAGGCAAGACGTTCCAGCTCCCTCATACCCCTAAAGAATAAGAACGCTGCCTACGCAGTATAAGACACACTCCAGCCTACGAAAGGGACCTCTCCGAGGACAGCACTGCCCATGCATCCCCTCCAGCTGCTGCGGGGACGGTTTCCCCGGGGATGGGGGTGAAGGACACGACACAGGCGTGGCTGAGCTTCCTGTCCTCCCCAACACGCAGCCTTCAGGAGAGACAACACCGACTTGACCTCTGCCCACTGGGACGGGGGGGGAGGGGGGCGAGGAGAAAGGTCCAGGCTGCTGAGGAATCAAGCCCACCAGAGCCACAGTGCCTGCAGAGGCCTAACCCTCTACGTCCCCCGCCACAGCGGGCCCAGGAAGGCCCCGATCTGCCCCCACCTCCGCACTGTTACGAGACACCCCACTACGCGAACCCCCTGCGCATGCGTGCCACGACCCCTCCTCCGGCGCCTGCGCACTAGCGCAGGATACCCC